GGCCGACGGCGCACCGCACTCGCGGGGAGGAGCCCGCCGCCCCGGGGCCGCCGCACGCGCCCGAGCCCGCCCATCTCCGCCCAGCCTCCCGCCCCAGCCCAGCCCCGTGCCACCCCCACGCCTGAGCGCAGCCGCCTCGGTCCCCTGGAATCTCTGCCTTCCCTCGGCCTCGGGCGTCCGGAGGAGTGGCTGAGGGTCTGCGGCTGCCCCGCCCCACCTGGGGCCGGAAGCCACCCCTTCGGGGACTTTGCCCAGCTAAGAGGGAAGAGTGATCCCGCCCAGCTCTGAGAGTGGAGGTCCACTGCGGGGACGTGTGGTGGAAGGAGGTGTCACCATCAGCAGGCGGGTCCTGTCCACGCCCCTGCCCCCACCCCCTGGTCCAAGTGGAAGGCAAATTAGCCGCAGCAGCAGAACACAAAAGCTAATGGGGACAGTGCACCATATAAACCGGAAATCCGAGCTTCTAGCCACCCAGAGTCGTCGTGGTCTAGATAAAACTCAGAGCTATCGCTCACCCCATCTAAACAACAATGTCTCTTGAAACAAAGAAGCGGTGAGAACTACAGCACATTTCATCTGTGGATAGTTTGAATAGTACCTACTCCAAATCTGTGCCCTCTACAGAAAAACCTCAGAATCCTTACAACGAATAGGCTGGTTTTTAAGTGGAGGGCTGCTTGGCCCAGAGTCTGCGCTATAAATAAAAGCAGGAGGGACCCTGTGCTATAGGAATCCTTCAAGACGAAATGAAATGACCAAGTAAGACACTCAGAGAAAAGTGACTATGTGAAAGTGAAACTGAATTTCCAACTGGAAGGAAAGCCCTGTGAAGAAGGGTGATCTCTGCACATGGACTTTCTGTGTTCTGGGACAGTGCCTGGGACCCTGCAGACAGCTGGTGCTCAGAAAACATTTATTGAATAGGAGGCGAGAAAATGGGTTAGCTATGTGCCGTTAATCAATTGTACTTGAAACTCGTATTTTTAAAGACTTCATGATGGAATGGGTTGATAGCTATTGCTAAGGGAAGACTTGAATGAGTAGGCTATCCCTCCCACAGATAAAACAGGATTGACCCACTTCAAGCATTGCAATAGGCAGTCCAAAATGTAGCTCTGTCACTACTTTCTGACCTTAGACAGGTTACACACTTACTTGAGACCCTAATTTTCTCATCTTCCAAATGGGACCAGATTTTTCTCTCTGTTGTGACATCCAGCTTTGACCTTTTATGACCTCATGACTAACAAGCGCTCTAGAACTAACAATAGACACATGATACACACAAAGGGATTTCTGGTCAGAATGGCATGAAAACTGATGATACTTAGATGAAGCCATTCTTGTCAGACCCACATAAAATTAAAGCCAGAAAGTTCTGAATGGGGAGGATTCATTCCTGTCTGAGCTAAGTAGTTACTTGGCTCAAGTAGTTGACATTTGTTTGTGTTCTAAAAGACCCTCATGCTTTGTACCCTTCTCCCACTGCAAAAAAGGGATGTGTGTCTTTAACAGAATACTGCAGCAATCTGGACCAAAATTCTCCTGACAGAACACTTTCCCAGGAAATCCTACCTACTCTACTTGTGAATACATCCCAACTCCTTTCTCTGATCTTTAAAACTTGTAAACTTGGTATCCAAGCAACTTATACAGACTGATCTCCCTTTGACTTTAAAATTGTATCCTCATTGCAAACCTTAGTAAATATATCCACAGTTTACTCTGATATGCCCATTCTCTTTGCAATGCTCTGCTTTTTCCAAATAAATATAGATGCTCTTTGGAGAATCCCTGATTATTATTTCGGTTGACAATGAATTTGTGAAGAAATTATGATGCAGCTGCAAAACAGATGAAGCCAGTTCTGTCAAAAGCTAGCGATTTCATTCATCTTCCATTGGCACAGGACCAAAACATACTGCAAAAGTGAATGCTCAAGCTGTCCAGGGTTTTAGGATGCTGAGTCTAGGGGTACTTGTGCCTAGGTGATCCACCAATTGGCCTAAGATATGTAGAATGGTCAGACTCACATCTTTGCTTTCTTCCAATTAAGAGATGGGGTTTTAACCGCCTCCCTCCCCCAAACTGAGTCTAGCCTCACTAACTCCCTTGAAAAAAAGAACCTCGAATAAGTGACATTCTGGGACTTCAAAAGTTAAGCCACAAGGAAGTTTGCTTTTTCATTGTCTTTTCTTAGGTTATTCCCCGTGGTAGTCCTGAGCTGACAGGTAAAATCAGTTCCCTTGATACTACCTCATTGGAAGAGCCACCAGATATGGACTCAGGTCCAGAGTCCCAACTGAGCTCTGCCTTCCAGCATCTTCTATTAGATGTTAACTGCTTTATATTGAATCCTCCAGACCAGCCCATTCACCAGCTGAATCCCATTCAGTAGGGTTCACTGATCCTATCGGAAACAAAACAAACATCCAATAGAGCGCTTCAAATTCCTAAGTCACAAAACAGTGAAATGAAATAAAATGGCTCCTGTTTTATATCACTAAATTTTGAAGTGTTCCATTATCTAGGTAATGGAACACTGAGATGTATGTAAGCCTACATTTATTTATACATGTAAACATATAAGCACCTGCTACAATTAGATTATCTTTTCCTACTCCTTTTGGCAAATTTATCCATTTTTATATAGATCATCTGCCAATTTTGTGCAATATGATTATTAAAGGATATATTTTATATGAAAAATTGTCAAAACAATATAAAAAACTTAAAGTAAGTTTAAATCAATCTTGCTATATTGTGTCCAGTGTATGTACTTAATAGTTATTTCTGAATGTCTCTTAAGTTCTAGACACATGAATTATTCTTGATGAATAACTAAACTTTTAAATTATTCCTATTGAGAGCATATAACATTCTTGAACTAAAAGTAAATCAATTTTTTAAAATTCTCCCCTCTATAGTCCCAGTTACTGCTCGGGAGATTCACTTGAGGCCTAAAGTTTGAGATCAGCCTGGGCAACATAAGGAAATCTTGCCTCAAAACAAAACAAATGCCAATACTTAGTGTAGTACCAGGCAACATCTTAATTCATCAGTTCTAATCATTATTCATCCAATATGTCTTTCAATATTGAATTAGATTGACTATAAATATATGTGGAATGAGAAGAAACTACTAGCAAAATGAACAATAATGAGTCTGACTTCTGTCTCCCAGACTCTACCAAGTCATACAATCTATCACCATTCGTCATTGTAAGTCTGCTTTCAATTTTGTTTTGAAAGCCTTAAAGGGTCTTAAGGAGCAAATGCTGCTTCAGGAATTAAACTTTCTGGATGTATCCCAGATGCATTTGGCATAATTTACACAGGGTTTTTATAGTGAGTTGTGTTTTAAGAATAGTAACAAAGATCTGTTGCTGCATATTTCTTTTGAGATGCTTCCAAATATCAAAGAAAGTCAGATCAACCAACCTCAGGAGTTAACCCTTTATAAGATCCCAGAAACATAGAAGGAGAAAGAAAAAGACATTTTTTGAAAGGCAACTTTTTAATTATATTTATGGGCAGGAAACACAGCAGTGTACATTTAACCCAGTTTGGTGATGAGTTCTTTGACCTTTGCCTTTTCTGGCTCGGCAATGCAAGCCACAGGTTTTGGACCCAGGACATTGCCTCCCCAGCGATGTGGATTTCATTGTATCTGTCATTGTAATTGGTCCTGATAGTTTCCACCAACTTAGCTAGAGCATCTTTGCCTTCTGAGTTAACCTGTGTGAAGGCCACGGTGGTGCATGTCTTCCTGTAACCATCCACCCCAGCCTGGCCTTCCCCTTGATGATGCAGTAGGGGACCCCCATCTTATGACCCAGGCAGGCAGGAAGACCCAGCTTGATGGGGTCTATGTCATGTGCGATCACCACCAGCTGAGCCTTCTTGTTTGCCACCAAGGTGATGACAATGGGGACATCCCCTTTGCCTGCTGGCAGCCTGTGCTTCTCCCCCTGCTTTATCTCTAGCCAGTACTTACCTGCAAACTTGAGCAGCTGGGTAGCTGTTTGAGGGTCCAGGACCTGTGTGGACTGGTTAATTGCAGGTAGCACTTTCAGCCGCTTACAGAGGAGCCCTTTGTTGCTGTAGCCTGATATATCAGGGTCATTTGACAAAGCGGGTGAAGTCCCTTTGGGGCTGAATGTCCTGTCCAAAGCCAAAGTTCTAAGATCTTTTCTCAGAGGATTCATGACCTTCTTGGCCTCTTGTTTCACGACAGCAGGGACGGGGGGCCACCTCATCCTCTCTGTCTTCTTTCCTTTTGGCATCTTGCACCGTTGGGGTGGAGGAAGATATGACACAGACTTCCTTTTTAATTTTTTAATTTATTTTTATTTTTTATGTGAATGAGTATTATGCCTGCATGTATGTAAGTGCACCCATGTTGTGCAGTGCCCATGGAAGACAGAGGGCGTTGGATCCTTCGGAAATGGAGTTATGGCAGATTATTAGCAGTCATGTGGGTGCTGGGATTCGAACCCAGGTCTTCTGCAAGAACAGCCAGTGCTCTTAACTGCTAAATACTCTCTCCAGTCCTGAAAAAGAGTTGTTAAAGAAACAACTGTGTGCTATAATGATCTCTTCCATCGATCCTAATCAAAATCTCTGCTAATAGGACCATGATGTTTTTGAGAATAAGATGCCCCTTCCTCCAACATTGACCTATACTAGACTGGAGTCCCTGTCCAAAAACCCAAGAAGACACCTTCACATAGGGCACAACCTGAATAACCTCTACTGCAGTCTCTGACCAAATCAGGCTTCCTTGAAATTTCCCAGGATCTCCCTTTTCCAAAATAGAAGTTTGTAAATGTATTTTAATGTATGAAGACAAATGTTAGGGGCTATTTGTTATTAACTACCACTTCCCAGGTCTTCCTCTCCTGCATCTCCTTCATCATCAACACCTCCACCACCACAATCTGTCCTACAAAAGTCTTTCTTATTGGACATTGGACATTACAATTGGAAATGCTCATTTTTCCTGCCTGTTTCTTTTTTATCTTTATAACGTTTAATTGTCAATGTATTTCTGCTTTCTTGGAATTCTCTTATTATTATCTCCCTAGTCAGCAAATCAATCAATTTTCCATATCAGAACCAAAGTTTTCAAGGTTAAGTTAGATGCAGAAATAAATGCACAAACGCTTAACTTCAACTCAACCAAATTTTCTATAGCAAATTTTCTGTATTTTCAATTATTCATATAAGATGCCAAATATTTTACTATCAAATCTTGGTAACAAATGATTAAATTCACTCACTAACAACCAAACTGCTGCCAAGATTCTGATGAACCCCTGGGATACTTTAAATATTACCACATCTAATCTATCAAAGTGGCAGAATATAATAACTGTGTATTCCTGGTTTGTTTTAATTGGTTCCCCCCACACTTAATTTGTTTCACCAGCACTCACCATGGGTAGTCACTGTACAAGACACAGCTTTGGACTTAGAAGGTTAAGAGTGCCTTAGGGAAGATGGCAATTGAATAAATTCAATAATAATAATAATAACAATAACAATAATAATTGTAAGTACAGCAGAGACAAAATGAGATGACAGAGAAAAGCGACTTCTGGCCAAGAGGTGGAAAAGAGGCAAAAAGCAAAATCAAGACTGATGGCCCAGCGAAAGGGGCCGGAGCACAGACATGTCAGCGACACAAGCAGGCTAGAGCATCTGATGCAGAACAACCGGTTTAGAGATTTTTGTTTGCCTTTATTCAAAAACTATGCGGTAGCCAATTTTATCAGGAACAACCCATTCCTATTATTTCTGTAAGGACTTTGTTGTTTTACTACTTTGTAATAATCTGTAAGTATAAGGAGAGAATGGGCCCAGCTGCAGGTGTTAGCTCTTTTCCGCATCATTTTCCAGGCCCGCTGCAGTACTGACTGATGCACCAGAGCAATAATGTAGTGTATTCTGTGGAACCCAAGAAGCAATGATTGCAACATGCATCTTATTTCAGAAACATTTAAATGGGGAAAAAAACTATATATTTGAGAAGCCACACAATGTGGTGGCTTGCCAGTAGGGAACATTCATCACATTTAAAGTATTGGTTTATTCCTAAGAATCAGTTTTCAAGTCAAAGAATAAGTCCAGAGTCATGATTAATACTGAGTGTTTTCACAGCTTAAAGGCATTTG